CACCACCGCCACTACACTACTCTACTATCTACTACACTACTACTACTCTACTATCTATTACACTACTACCACTCTAATATTTACTACACTACTACTACTCTACTATTTACTACACTACTACCACTCTACTATCTACTACACTACTACTACTCTACTATCTACTACACTACTATTCTACTACTTACTACACTACTAGACTACTCTACTACAATACACAACTACATCTCCTCCAACCTCTCCTAACCCCATCTCCTCTCGTCACCCTCTTGCAACGACCACTACCCTTCCGGCGACGCGACGACATTCGTTCTCATACCACGTTCGCATTGGCGTCAACCTTGGTTTTTTCCCCACCGAATGTTCGAGAGTGCGACCGATTTTCACCGACCAATCATGAACGATCTTTGATAGACAACGCGACGACGAATCACTCATCCAATGGAATTTCAAAACGTTTCCCTTTTCATTCGATTACACTCTGCTTTCTCGGGTATCGTTACAACTTTACCCGCACTCGTAAACGTATTCCTTTCTTGCAACGACCACCGTTGCAATAAAAGTGATACAATGTTGTTAGGATATATGATCCGAGCAACAACTTCTTCGACTCAGTAGCCCCACCAACTTGTCAACACGACTACCAGTCGTGTAATATTGTGGTTATATTTTATCAGTAATCCCCTTATTGCTTTAATGTGTATTCGAGTTTAGTAAATATGTATGTCCCTACATGACAGTGTTGGATGAAATTCTCCGCAGATAGATAGATAGATAGGTAGATAGATAGATAGATAAATAGATAGATAGATAGATAGAGATAGATAGATAGAGAAAGAGAGAGAGAGAGAGAGAGAGAGAGAGAGAGACCGTTATATCCTGAACATAATATTTCAAAAACCATTACGATATTCTCAGAAAGTTTGCGGAACTTATTCGAATGTAAATCATTCTCTTCCTCTATCTTTCTCTTTTCTAATTTCTTAATATATTCGACAAGAATTTTTAGACGGCACGGAAGACAGCAATGGTTGTATTAGTACGAATGCTCCGTGTGAACCTTCATCCGCTCGATGTTGTATTAATGCGGGTGTGTTATTAACGAAGGAAGAATCAAACGGTTTATATAGTTGGTAGCATTAAGAAAAGCGGATTTATGTGTGTGCGCGTGTCTGATTCTACCAGGGTTCCTCTCCTCCTATTTCTATTCTCGACATGCCTGCATTCTTCTTCTTACTGCTATTATTTTCTTTGAGAGGTTAATTAACGATAGATCGAAAGAGTATACATATCCTTGAGAAACTGAATATTTTTCTCGTATAACCTATAATACACACTATATATATATATATATATATATATATATATATATATATATATATATATATATATATATATATTGGATAAACACGCAAAACGTATTTACAAAAATTCTATCAGTAGGGGTATCAAAAGATAGTGTAAAACGCGTAGTGTCGAAAGGAAGGCGTTCGACACACGTTCTCTTTGCTACGTTAATCGAAGGTCGTTCCATTCCGTTCCGAATGATCACCACCGTGTTTCAATTTAGAAAGAAACTCGGAAAGCAAGTAGGCCGGATCGAGAAAGACTTTGGACGTTAAGGAATAATAATCGATCGATATTATTCGTGATTCAAGAGCAAGAGAAAATATTCTTTTAAAGTAATGGCATAGTAAACTATGTAAAAATACATTGTTAAAGAGATAGTCGAAAGATATCAATAAAGTATGCTTTAAGTGCCGTCGTGACTTGTCCTACATTAGGCTTTTAATTACCATCATTTACGGTATCCCTACTAACGGAATCCCATCCGTCCAGTATTGGCTATTAAGACTGCCGATCATCGAAAGAATGAGAAACACGATTTTGGTGTACCTTTAACGGTATATTCAAGCAAAATGGATACCTAAACATATCGTTGACGAAGGAAACGTATAAATCGCAGTCGAAAATCGATATTCCTTCGACGGAAGGAGAGAGAGAGAGAGAGAGGGGGGGGGGGGGAGGGAGAGGGGAGAGAGAGGTATACATATATGTATATTACATATATGTTATAAAGACATATATTATTGTAAACACGCAGTTATAGAAGTTTGCACGCACAATAAAACGAATTCATGGAGGGGATGTATGTAGTGTGCATCATCATCGCCGTTACAGTCGCGCATTTAATATCATCATAAACGCGTATGTTTCTCACGTTTTATCTTCGAGCACGCACATATACCTTGATCGATATATATATATATATATATATATATATATATATATATATATATATATATATAAAATTAGCATTAACTTCACTTTCGAAAAGATTTTTCATAAAATACGTGAAAAAATCTAATAATGCAATTATCTAATAAACAGGAATTCGTCAAACATATTGTAAATCTATGTATACAATCAGAGACCTTAAGAATAGATGAAGAACGATGAAGCCTCACCACTTTTAACGTCACTCTCCGTTGTATGGCACTGAGAACATACTATGCTTTTTACGAAACGTGATCCATAAAAAGTCGATTCGCTCTTTTTGAATTTCCCGCGGTAATGAGTGAATGGTCATGTGACTTTATTAAAGCGGGAAATTTAAATTGATCGATTTTTTTTTTTTTTTTTTTTTTTTTTTTTTTTTTTAAATCGAAATCCATCTTTGTGATTTAAATTTTTAACTATACTATCTTTTAGTAAGGCGAACAAAGAAATTTCTCGTGGGTATTTCGTAAAAGTCGTCGTTACCGTATCATAATTAACGCATTACAACCCCTTTCTCAAGCATTGCGATTAAATCGTTACTCTCCTTTAAGCGGGAATTCGCAGAAAAATGCGCAACATTAATATTCTTCTTTATGTGAACGTTTCGATATAATATATACTACCAACGCATTGCAGGAAATATACTAGCATTAAATCGACGAATCATGGAAATAATTTAATTAAAGAAGTAAAAGAAAGAAAGTAAAAAAAAGATGCGAGCATAACTGCTTTTTAAATCCTCTTAAATTTTAATTTTTTTCATTTGTATTTCCGTTTGATCACATATATATACGCGCAATATATTTATTTAAATCAACCATAATTTTGATTCGATGCGACGAAATATCTCAAATAACATGTTTTCTTTTTTTTGTCACGCATAAAGGGAAGGAAATATTTCGCAGAAACTTACATCAAAAGCTTTATGAACTTTATGAAAGTCACGTTTATGCGAGATTGACGCAACTAGCATAATAAGAGTATTCTCTCTTGGATATAGAGCACACATTCTCTTCTTTGGAAAAAGAAAAAAAAATTTGGTAAAAAATGACTTGCGTACCGTTGGGTTTGAAACCGAGAAGGCACATTACCGTGCCACTACCGTTTCACCGCTGTCTGTCGAATTACCGAGTACCGCTACTAAGGTATGTAACGTAACGCATAACGGTGCGATACAAGTATTAACAATTTTATTGTTATTGTGGAAAAATCGATGTCACCAATTAGTCTCTAAGTGTCTACTAAAATTAAGACATATAACATATTTCCATTGAAGAAAAATTAAAAGAAAAAAGAAAAAGATGAAACCTTGATAATAAGAGTACACTTCTAATTGCGTTTAAGCAATCACACATATACTTGCAAATACGTTAGAATATACTTGAAAGAAGTCCATTAACTTATCTACTTATCGCGATCATAATAAATTCGAAACTTTCGAAGGCATTACGATACACGTGCGTATCGAGAACGTAGATATTTACATAGATCGTTCATCGAGAAAAAGGGCGTATATACGGTATGATTATCAAGCATGTGTGTTTAGAGAGTATGGGAGGGGAGAGACGGAAGGAGAGAGGAAGGGGGAGAGAACTCGCGTAAGATGAAAATGAGGTGTGTGACGTGACGTGATATTTGTCAGACCACGTGGTCACTACGAACACTTCTGCTACGCTTAGGTAAACTAGTCCCACTCCCTTTGTTTCAAACTCTATGAAAAAGCTAATGTAATGGAGAATAAAGGCCAACGTATATATTAGTATGTATATATATATATAAAAAAAAAATTGATTCGTCTGATTTGCCGTCAAGAGACGGAAGATACACGAGAAAATTCTAAATAATGTGAAAGCGTACACCACCGGATGGTATGCAATCATGGAAAAGTGGAACAAATCTAATCTCTTACGACGTGTGTTTTGTACTTTGGTAGGTTAGAACTCGCACGAAGCCATGCCTGATCACCACGCGGTCGCGTACTTATATGCGTATCTGTAAAAGATAAGGCGAATGCCTCCTAGAGATAACCAACGTTCTCAAGAATCGACGCTGGAAATCGTTTCCTTCTATTTTCTTTTTTTTCTTTTTTTTCGCTCAATTTTGAATTTCTTGTATTAATTATTTTAAAATGAATCATCATCCACGCGAAGGCAAGATATTTGACTGATATGGACATAGTGTCATGTGATAATTTCAGCAAACGTAATGAAAAAAGTTTTGAAATAAAAGAAGCAGAGAGAGAGGGAGAAGGAGGAGAAGGAGAAGGAGAAAAGAAAGAAAACGAAGTTAACCAAAAGCTAGCAGAAATATCCTCATAATAACGACAAAAATTATGTCGAAAAGATAAAACGTAGGCACGATGTCAAGATTCCCTAGACGAACCACGCCTTCGATGACAAAATATACGTTCTCGCGACTTTTATAGCAGACGCTATCGAGGGTTCGGGTCTCCATCCTACTCTCCCACCATATGCACAGATAGACACACATACAACACTTTTCTCTCTTTCTCATCGCCCCAGATGTGAGCAATCGTTACACGTTGCAAATACGCGATATCTTCCGTCATTTAATTGTACCGAATTCATAATTTCCGATGGTCAAAAGCGAAAACAAAATATGAGAGAAGAGAGATATAGACAGAAATAGAGAGAGAGGGAGAAAGAGAGGGAGGGAGAGAGAGTATGAACGCACAGGAATGGGACGGACGTCACAGTACGTACCTTGTTTTTCTCGGCTGCCTTTTTGGCTCACTTTTTTGTCCGTCCATCACAAGCAAACAACACTTTGATCATCGTTATCGTCACGAACGACGACATCCTCATATTGGCACATATCACACAACTTCGACTCTTTTATCTCTTTTCCTTTTTTTTTCACCACAATAACAAACGTTCAGGGCACAACTTTCAGATAAGCAGGAATATGCGTGGTGGTTTGTAAGGCACGACGACAACGGAGAAGATTTGAAGTCGACTCACCTGTTATGGACGGTGTGGCGATGATACGATAGTGGTAGGGGATATAAGAGGAGCGTGCTAGGACAAGCAAATAAGATGGACGGATACAGAGAAACCGCGTGGTACGATGTTTTATTCTCTTTGCGAAAAAATGCGTAATCAGGAAAAAGGGTAGCACAATAAGTGTGAGAGAGAGAGAGAGAGAGAGAGAGAGAGAGAGAGAGAGAGAGAAAGAAAAAGAAAAGAGAGGGAGAAAGAGATAGAAGCGCGATAATGACGTTCTCCCACGAAGGAAGGTCCAACCACAATCTCGTATAACTAGCGAGCGTGTGTGGCTCAATGAACACTAGAGGGAGGATGGACGGCGGACGGGTGAGCGGGCTCAAAAAGGGGAGGGAGGACGATGATGACGACGACGACGACACGATTCAACTCGAATCCTACCGACTTCGTACGATTCGACTCGACTTTCCTTCGGTACGACTCGGTACAGTTCGTAGTGATTCGGCTCCGTTCGGCGGCTCAACTCGAAAAGAGTCGAACGAAGTCGAAAAGAGGCAAGGTTTACTGGACACCCTGGGGCGTATCGACGACTATGGACGGCATCATATACCAATCGTGCCACACTGTACGACGCCGTACGTATGTGCGTGCGTGCGTGCTATTCACTGCCTGCTGAGTGTATGTATGTTCCCTCTCTTTTTCTCTTTCTCTTCCTTTGTGTATGTGTTATAAACGAAATGAGAAGAGGAAGGATGACAGAGGGAGGGAGAAACAAAGATAAGGGGACGAAGAGAAAAGGGGAGGAAAAGATTTACGCAACCCTCTCTCGATACTGAGTGAAAATCCACGTCGATGCACGTTGCTGTCGATGCGCCTCGATAAGCCACGTAGTACCCTTTCCCTCTCTCTTTCTCTCTCACGCCTGCCTTGACTCGTTCAATGATCCTTTTCTAAGAAGCACGAAACTAACCTCTTTTCCGCCCTATGTTTACGCTCTCTTTTCCCTTTCCTTTTCTCACTCCTTTTCTTTTTTTTCTAATTCCTTTCGTCTTTCTCTATCTTTTACACCCTTAATATCTCCTTCATACTATCTCTTTTTTTCCATTCGAGATTAACCCTTCTGAGTGCCACACGCGATCGCAAATGATGAGTGCGCATGCGTATACGTCGATGAACATAAGCGAGGTTGGCAAAGCGAAGATAGACTCGCGGAATCGTAAGAAAATAGCATCCTGCTTGACTGTGCCATAGAGAGAGGGAGAGAGAGAGAGAGAGAGAGAGAGAGAGAGAGAGAGAGAGAGAGAGAGAGAGAGAGAGAGAGAGAGAGAGAGAGAGGAGAGAGAGAGAGAGAGAGAGAGAGAGAGAGAGAGAGAGAGAGAGAGAGAGAGAGAGAGAGAGAGAGAGAGAGCGCGAGAGAGACTGATATGGCGGAAGGGAGGAGAGAGAGGGAAAAAGAGAACTGGATGAAAAGGGAGGAAGAGAGGAATGGAGGAAACGAAACGAGGAAAAGGGGAGGGGGTAAAAGTAGGGCGAAAAAGGGATGAAGCGGCAAGGAATCGTCCGATCATGTCTCGCCCCCTACAAAAGATAGAGGAAAAAGAGAGACAGAGAGAGCGAAGTATCGATTCGGCTAGAAAGGACTGTCGCATAGTCAAGTCAAAAGCGCGAGATGTATTTTTCAGCATATCGACACCGCCCGATGTTATTTCCGATGACACCCGAACAAACGACGATCCGACGATGGTCGCCGTCGCCGTTGCTGTCGCGGTGGCGTTTCGCTTCTTTTTCGAGGAATCCGTTGTGCGTACACGGCTCGTCGTATCGGAAGGTTCGTAGAAATGCACGCGACGGACGATGAAGGTACGTCGACTTACCTTGGCATCCTCGAGATGCACTCGATTCGACGACGACGGCAGCGATGACGACGACGACGACGACGACGACGACGACGGGGTTGAGAGCCTCTCCACCGAGGACGTGCGACTTGGCCCGTGCAGCGCTAGGACGCCATGTCAGCAAGTCGAGGCGCGGACTCGGGGCAGATACGCGCACGACGCTCACACAGGCGCAAGCGCGCGCCCGCGCGTCCACCGATAGGGAGTACCAGGGAGGAGAAAGAGCGTGCTAGAGAAAGAGACAGACAGAGACGGTCCGCCGACCGGACCGACCGATGGACAGAGAGGGAGAGAGCCACACACATACCACCTAATCGACCAACCCGGTACGCGCCTCCCGTGCTGGGGAATTCCTGCTGCGCCACCGAACGGTCGTCACGGAACCTCGCCTACGCCCGCATAGCGCCACGGCCGTGCTTTCCGTTCCTGGTACCCTTCACTGCTTCAACGTCGTCGTCGTCCTCGCCGTTGTCATCGTCGTCGTTGTCTTTGTCATCGTCGTCACTGTTATCGTCTTCGTTGTCATCGTCATACCATTCGGATAACACCCGCCTCCCTCTTGAGCGCCCTCTTTTGACCGATCACTGAAGTCTAACGGACGGAGAAACAGAGAGAGGGAGAGGGAGAGAGAGAGAAAGAGAAAGAGAGTCAAGCAACATCCAACAATTCTACTCCGCACCTCTCTCTCTTTCTCTACACCCCACTCCACCCTCTTCGGTTCGTCGTCGACGCGACGGAGACGTCCCCTCTACCCACCGCCCTGCATCCCCTCGTCCTCTCCATCCGCTCTCCATCCTTCATCGTATCTCTCTCCACCGCACCCTCGATGCCTTCGCGCTATCCTGCGCGCGCGACTACGCGTATCGCCGACATACCCCTCTTCCACCACCTTCTCTTCTCGTCATGCTCTCGTCTCTCCTCTTTCTCTCTCACTCCACTATCTCTCTCGACTGTCCCGCTCAACGGACTTGTCTATGTTCTCTTCCTCCCGAGTCTATGTATATGTCTTCGCCACGTCGGCCCCTTTCCTTCGCTCCCTCGCACCCTCGATCGCCCTCCAAAAGGGGCGCTTATTTTCGCCCCTTTGTTCTCACGCTCGTAACCAAACTTCTCCGCTCTTTCGCGCGCTCTCCTACTCCTCTTCTCTCGCTACGTCATCGTATGCTCCGTTTCAGTGCGATATCGTTACCCTTTCGCGGCCGATGTCTTATAAATGCTACGATTTGTTTTATAATGCATGCTATCGTTCGATTTGACTTAGGATGTTTTTTTATAAAAAACATCTTGAATTATTTTTCAACGTTCGAGGTTATGTTCAAGGAAGAAGGAGTAAACACGTGGTTTCGATAGTTTATCACGTCCGTTTTTCTATGTACCACGTTGTCGTCATGCAAAAACATATCGATTAACTTTATCGCAGATTCTTTATTTCTAAGATCGTTCAGAGGACACTTGTAATTGTCGAGTATTATCGAATAATTTGTTTTCTATTCGAGCTCGATTCACGATCGATCATTGGATGCGTTCCGAAGGAAATTTGAGCCGTTTTGCTCTACGCTCCGTTTCATCGCGGAGGCATTTATCGTTGGATGACTATGAACATTAGTCAACAGAGAAAAAGAGAGAGAGAAAAAAAGGTAAAAAAGCGTTGCTAAATTCAGAAAAGTAATCGTTCAAAAAGGAGGTAGGTGATTGTAGTATTGAAAATATTTTTTTGGAAGGGTCGTAATCCTTGTTGTCTATTGTAAAACTCTCTCTCTCTCTTTCTCTTTTTCTCTCTCTCTCTTTCTTTTTTTCTCTAGATTAGTAAACTTTATACTGATATCATTTTCTAGACTTTTCTGTTGGTATCTATTATCACGTAACAAGAAAACAGAAGGGTGGGCTACCAAATTCAAAAAAGAAATGGTTCTCCTGGAAACGAATTTCTATTGAATTAAAGTTGCTAACTAGTCTAAGTAGAAAGATTTTCATCCCGGAAAGGAAGTGAAAAAAGAGAAACGAGGAAGAAGGGCAACTAGATATAAGAGAGTAGGCGCGTCCGCTAGTAGGACACGCGCGTGCGTATGTACGATACGCGCGCTGCGCAATATCCTCTGCGCGGATGCGCTGCTACCGCACGAGTGAGGGAGAGAGAAGGGAAGAGAGAGAGAGAGAGAGAGAAAGAGAGAGAGAGAGAGAGAGAGAGAGAGAGGAATAGAAACTTTTTTTCGTTTTGAGATCGTTTTCTCAGTGTGACTAAAACGTAGGGTATACAATTACCAACCGCATTTGCGTCTACCGACACAAAAGTGCGAGAAAAGTAGATAAATAGCGAGGAAGAAGTGAGATACAGAGAATAAAGTTTATTTCCATTACGAATAAAATTGTAATCAAAAAATAAATTGTTACGAACTGTTAAAACGGGATCTAATGCGATAAATGTATTATAATTATTATACTCCATAAAATACGATATAATCATCTAAATTTTCTTTTTATAGATTTTAGACCTGCAGAATATATAATTCGTATCTGTTCTACTACTATCTAAGTTTTACAATATAAAAATTCTTTCGAAGTAGATAACGAAAATCGTTAAGCAAGGAATTTCTAATCAATTAGATTATACGATTCATCCTATATCGTTTAACTAATTCAGGACGAACGGATTATATTCTTTTTCATTTTCTTGTTAACAAAATCGTAAATGGATGAATATAACAATGACGAAAGAAGATAATGGAAAATTAAATAGATATAATAGAAAGAAAAAGGAAAAGATAGAGAAAGAAGCTTGATTGTTCCTTCCGTTTAAACTTTATAATTCGGACATAAGGAACGCGCGAATCTGCTTGAACTTTCCATTCACGGGCCCTTTGAATCGTACGCTTGTCGTCGTCGTCGGGCGTGCGTTTCTTCGTCCCACTTATTCCTCCTTGCTTTCTCCTTTTTCTTCGCCTTAATCCATCCTCGCTGCTATATCTTGCGACGGATTCGCCGCGTTGTTACGTCTGCCGGCACCTTGACACGTTTACCCCGACACGCGTGCTTAAATGCGCAGATAAGATTTCGATTTTAGCTTTTCCATTTTCGATTACCCACAATTTAAAAATCGATAATCTAATAGTGAAACTACATATTTCAAATCATGAGAAGAACATAAGGGAAATTGACAACGAGTATATCTCTTCTAATTTATCCGAAAATTTAAATGATTCCGAAAATATAGCACTTTATTTCATTTCTTTGATTTCAGACTCATCAAGGATATATTGTATATATATATGAAGGATAAATAATAAGGTAGCATCGAGGAAGGTGGGAAACGCAGGTGAGGATGGTGCAGTGCGTTGTCCAGCGGGTTTCACGAGGGGTAGCCTCTGGTCTCTCCGCTGCGGATGAATTCCCGCATATCATTTCGGTCGACTGATAAAAAGGCTTGGAGGCTGGCTCGTCGCAATGGACGACGAGGCGTATACGGACAAAAAAGCCGTTGGGAGGGGAAAAGACTCGGAGGTCGGACACACATACATATAAAGACATACATGAAGCACACAGTAGATACATAAGCGCAGAGAAGGCAAAAGGGGAGGGAGAGGGAGAGAGAGAAAGAGAGTGAGCGTGAGCGAGGACGAAGCGACTGAGTGGAGAGCGTAGCTCGAGCTCGGTTGCTAAGGGGTGTAGAGACGGCGAGAGAGGGACGACGCGCTTGCCGTTGGAAGACGGGGCGGAGGGGTGCAGACGTGTACGTAAACGACGTGAATCCGGGTAAAGGGGAGCGTCACCACCATCGCCACCGCCACTAACGCCGTCCTCGCTGCTCTGCCGTCGCGATGATTTGACTCTTCTGACTCTGACTCTTTCTCTTTCTCTCTTTTTCTTTCTCTCTCCCTCTCTCTTTTTCTCTCTCGTCGTTGTCGTTCGTGTCCTTCGTTTAGTTCTAGCGAGCCTCTAGCGTGCTGATTCTAGCTTGACGCTCGTGCGCGCACTCTAAGAAACTCGATGTGCAGTCGTATGCGCCCACTGCCAGGGCTGTATCATTTTCCTTTGCCACGAGTGTTTTTTGCTCTCTTTCTCTCTCTTACTCTTTCGTGTGAAAGAAAATAGTCATGTTCTTTGCTTTAGTCTCTTCACTACCAAACGAGAAGAGAAGGTCTATCTTGACGAATGTAACGAACAGTTTCCTTTCGCAAAAAATTCGTTAGTACGTAGAAGATATCTGTATGATTACCTATAAACGATATGGCATTTTGAATAGAATTATGTAACAGAGTATTATGGTCATAATTAATTCTTTGAAATCTTTTTTTTCTTATCGTAAACACGTAGGAGTGAAGTTGAAAAAACGAAAAGAATTGGAAATGTCGCGACATCAACTCGTGATCCCTGGATCCTCGATGTGGCCCCAAACGGTGGTATCTAGGGAGCTTGGAGATCCAATGGAAGCCAAGTCGCGTAGAAGGGATACTAGAGTAGGAGGTGGCAGTTATGGCGCCTGCCGTTTGCGAGGAAGAAGAAGAGACGAAGAAAGAGGAGAGAGAGACCGAGTCGAAGAGTACTACACGTGTCGCGGCGGCGGGGTGTTGACCCCAAATAGCTTTTTTAACGTGACGTAACTGAGAAAGGGTTGAGAAATGGCCAAGTGCTTGAGCTCGACGCGAACCGAATGACTTTTCGAATGAACTCTAAAAGCTAAGCGTCTTTGAGAACTCTTCATATTTTCGAATTAAACGATGATACCGATTTACGTTGCTCGATTAAAAAAAAAAAGAAAATAAACAGGAAACGAATTTCAATCGTCTTCCTTTAAAAGATAAAAAAAGATATTAATAAATACTAAACCGTGAACAGTTTTCACGTTCATCCAATTAAAGAAGACATTATTTTTCTTTTTTCTTTTTTTCTAACAAAGGATACCGAAAGAGAACCTGTTTCGAATGAATGTTCGGTGAACAGAAACGTTATGACTGTACATATTAGGTATATACGTTATGGCCTTGTCGGACGAGGAACATAGCACGATGGATCACATTAATGTTTCAGGCGATCGTAAGCGATGATGCAGGCCAACGTTCGCTACAACTTATGTAACTGTAGCTTATGTGTACAAATACTATATATATTTGTAACTTATGTTCTACGAATGATTTTTGAAAGGATAGCCAAAATAAAATCTAAATTTTGAAGATTATGGGTACTTGTCTTTTCTTTTTTCTAATTTTTCCAACAATCTCGAGTTTTTAAAACAACTAATAATACAAATACAGTAAGGCTCTCGATCGTACCGATTTTAGAAAGACAAATATTGTAAGGAAGCTAAGATAATGTTCCCATTCATGGCCACGTTGTGTGCTTGTACGATATCGTAACGTATGTCTTCGCTATATACCTAATTAGGACTATTGAAGCGAAGGATGGAATAAGATGTCGTAGGGCGAGAGAGCTTCTCCAATTCATCGTTCAACAGCATCGCTGCTACACTTAATGATCCCTATCATTCTTTCACTTCGATATAACCGACACACGTGTCATGTATTTTACGCCCATAACTTAAAAAAAATGAAGAAAAAATCTAGGTAATGAGTATTAAAAGAGAAAACATAGAAATGGAAAGTTCCAGCTTTCTCATTTTTTTCTTTTCTTTTTTTACACAATATAAAGTCACATATATCTGGAAAAAAAAACAAGAACTTCGCTAACAGTGGTAACGCGTGTTTATATCTTATCTAACTGGTTATACTATGAGTAAGGCGTGGACGATATTCAATCTTACTACTCTTACATACATCGAAGCACGATACTTTCCCTCTGATGTTTCATGGTAGCCCTTCCGAGTTAAAGCAAAGTATTTTAATGAGAAGACAAATAGAAAGGGCTAGAAATAGAGAAGCTAGTTTCGAGTCAATAAGATTTCATCGAGTCTTAATCTTTTACCTCGTTGACTGGATGGTCGTTCAGTGTTCAAGGTAGATATCCTTATCCATCGTCGACCGCAAAGGATATTCTGAGTAACCACGGTTAGAAGGAAATAGAATGATAGCCTGTATTCTTATTTCTATTTTCTATGAAATGAAAAGTATTTTGGTTATCCAACATTTTCTTTTATTTTTTACGCCGACATATTCTGGAAATTCTTAGTATAAATATATTCTTTGTTTAGAAAGGACACAGTAAAAGTATCGAAATATTTGACATTTCAGAAAGGAAACTCAAAAAAAAAGAGTTAAAGAATTCCTTTGTTTGATAAAAGGAAAAAGGTAGTAACCGTAACTGCGAGCAACGGCGTGCATGTTTTACTTATATATATGAGAAAGGGGATGACTGAAAGGGCCATTGCTCCCTGGCCCAAGTTGCCCTGATCTACAGCGTCCAGAAAGGATTCAACTATCGTCCTGTGCTTTGTTAAAGTTTCTATGAACTGTGACATTTCTGGCTCTAGATCTATTTTCAAAAATCGATGACATTGACTTCTTTGATTAAAAATAAAAAACGAAAGAAATCCTTTAAATCGAGTTTACTTTAGTAATATCATTGGAAATTTGAATGATTTTCTATTGACAACAAATATTCATAATGCAAAATACGCGTGTTCTCTCTTTCTCTCTCTCTCTCTCTCTCTCTCTCTCTCTCTCTCTCTCTCTTTCTATATATATATACATATCGAAGTATTCAAAATAATGTGCCTTGCTCTGCTTAGATTATTATTCAAATGTTCCACATGTGTCCTATAATCGTCCCAAGACGTTCCGTTATGCTCCTAGAGGCTACATCACACTACATTCCAGATACAGTGGATTGTGGGGTGTTTATAGTGAGTGTTATCTACTTATAATTCTTTTCTCGTACGAAGTATCGTTTATTAACATTGAAATCTTCTTGCTCCAGACTTCTTGTTAAATTTCGAACATGATTCAAAGACTATTAGGAATAAATATACTGGTTACAAAAAGAATGGGAAAGAGAATAAAATGAAACTAAATTTTCACGGACGATTTTGAAACTTATTAGAATACACCACCCCGGTAAATGGCCTCGAGCGAATTCGATCTAAAGAGAAAAATAACATCATTAGCCCTTTTTATTGGGCATATTGAGATTTCTTTTCGTCGTCATAGCGAAACTCGCCTTTGCTATGTTTTATAGCCCTTTGCCTACCTCGACGCACCTTCCTTGCGTCGTCACACAGTACAGACTTTCTATCCCCGGGCTGGCTTTCAACCTCTTTTTCGCTCCTCGAGTCTTTCTTCTCCTCCCACTCTTCCTCCCCTTTCTCATTCCCCTCCCCACCCTTCTCTACTCCGCTCTCCATCATCCTCCCTCTCTCCTCTCTCTCTCTAACCGTTTCTCCTGTCCGCTCTCTTCTCTTCTCTCTTCTTCTCTTTCCTTCTGTCTCTATTTCCTTCTCTCTCCTTTCCTCTCTCTCTCTTTCTCCTTCTTATGACTACTACCCGACCATCTATCCATATAACCTACGTGACTGTCCGCATCCCTGTTCTCTGACTTCTAAGTCTAACCCTAAGTCTAACCCAACCTGGAGGCGCCCTTATAGCCAGACGGCGGCGTCGTCGTGGACGGGGAGGCATACGCATATCCCCACCATGGCATCCCTCGTCGAGGGGTCGTTGATCCCCCAAGGACAACGACCTTGCGTCTGCGGCAGCCAACCGTTCAAACAGTTCTGAGTTCCCGGATTCCTCGATTATCAATATCTTTCACTCCTTGCTTTTCACCTTTCTTCCCCTCTTACCTATAGCTTCCTCCTACCTTCAGGATGATCGTCATACTCCTTTCTCACTTCTATATTCATTCGTTCTTTGTATTTATTTTATCCTTTGCTTTTTCACGCGTCGATACCTCCTCAGTTCAGGATTGTTCGCTGCTTATCGCGCCTTCGCTAACGACCTAAAGAAACACGGTGCACGTGTTAGTCAGTAGCTTTAATATGGTAGTGGTGGTGGTAGTACTCTAAAGAGAAAAAGTACTTCTTCCACGTCGATATCTTCTATTCTGTCGACTTAAACTTTCACTCGTTCTTCATATACTTTAGATGTATTATTACTTTCTTTTTCTTTATCATATGTTGAGATCAATTATAAAACTGATTTAATTAGCTTGACATTAGACTAAGAGATCGAATGTCATAAACCTTTGCTAAAGGTTATTGGATTTATAAAATTATAAATGCATGCCGTCCAACAGGCTTTTCAAAATCGTAAGAAATTATGAAAAATTCATGCGAGCGAGCATCGATATACATGACTCGACCCCGACCCGCATAGCCTTTCTACCGTTGTTGCCTCCTATTCTTTTTCAACACTCGTCTACATGTGAACGCTTGTAAAGCTTTCCTTCGTTCATCGATCTTCAAGTCGGTTACCGAGGTTGTCTCTTTTCCTTTACAAATAAAATTCCCTAGATCATTTCTTTTATCTTATTCCCGTACAATAATAATCAATTTATAGTTTTGGGTTTACAGTTTGAATAAAATAAAAATAATTAATGAATTAGAAAATGATTATTTACAGATATTATCGATTATCACGTAATTTTTCAGCACATTTAAAACATCAGGGAACTTCTACAACTATCTTTTTATTGTCATCTTTCGGATTGATCGAGGAATCAGTTTAAGTTAAAATTATAAAAAAATAGAGAAAATAGTTTTCCTCTTCAAGAAGCACAGAGACAAGTTTATAAGCAAATGTCGAAAATGTATTTTAAAATTTTATTAAATTCTTGAAATATTTCGATGTTCCTACATAAATTAATAGTTACATATATTAATTAAAGATAGACTGTAAAGATCAAATATTATTTGATTTCAAGTATATATTTCATATTTTATGTATTTTTTTTGAGAAAAGATGATAACTGACGTGGTCACATTGTTACGTAGCTTGTAGTTTTATAGGTGGGTGGACTAGTGGGTGATCATATGCACATACTACAATAGAGTCCCTCTATACATGCGATAGGTCTTCACATATACCAACGATGCGGAACGTGCTACTGTTGACTGTGCGGGCGCGAGTCGAGTACCACGGTGACGCAATCTTCGAAGGGAAGGAAGACATCGGTGTTGACCTACTAAAGACACAAGTTCTCTTCTAGCATTCTTTCACTGATCTGTATTTTTCGTATACACCAAGTAGTGGTTATATATTTTAAATTATACGGAAGAAAGAAAAAAATATATATAGGCATATATATATGTATACATATATTCAACTATTCATCCATATTACCTTACGTTATTACATTCTACAGTTATATTCTAAATCTGTTAATCTATTGAATGATGAAACATTTACCTAAAGCAAAGATAAGGTTTTCTTGAATACGCTAAAATATTTTATACTATATATTGAATAGTAAAAAAATAGTAATAAAATTAAATAGTAATAAAATTTTACATACTATATATACAATATAAATATTATATAGGGATATTTGTATATAGCACAATATAGATTTAATTATATGATATATATATATATATATATATATATATATATATACATACATATATATATATATATATATATATATACATATATATATATATATATATATATATATATATGGTCTCATATGCTATAAGCTAGATATAATACAACACATACACATGTGTTTATCATATACAAAATAATGATTACTTTTTTTTACGCTCGATGTGTGCAGTTAAAAAGAGCATTCAACGTATAGGGTAACACGGTTTATCGTCCTTTTAATTTATACGATAAAAGGGGCAGACGTTGGACTTTACACTGGACGACTACTCCCAGG